AAAACAAACAATGGAATAATAGGTCTATTCCCTTGAATGTTATTCCATTCCTGACATATTTCATGAACCAAATATGCTATAATAGAATTCCTAGTTACACTTTTCACTATTTTAGGCTAATTAGATACACAAAAATTTGAGTGAGATCGTTTCAAGAATCTGAAAATGTAATACTTGTTTGCATTTTTTATAACAAGTGCTATTACTCGTCTCACACAAAACTAACCCAATTAAATAAATCAAGTTATCTACTAGTAATTTTTTGAGTAAAAGAAAAAAAAAAAAGCACCTTGATTACTCTTGGGTAAAGGATTCGAATTTAAACATACTTTTAGAATGAAAATGATTTTTGCCCAAATATAGTTCAAGATTAGAATTTGTAAAGGTGCTTTTGTGATCATTGATGACACCAACTCTTTAACAAGCATAAAATAGAGAGAGATGATTTCAGGGAACAACAAAACTTTTAGCTACATTTACTGAAACTTACTCTCACAAATTGACAACTTCTAAGGTAATGAGCAACAAAATTGCTCCCTAATCCGATCCCAAGAGTCTCACTTGTCTTTATCCTAGAGATAATCTATAAATTTTTCAAAGTGCTTGTATATTAGTGCAGTGAATTCCATACCTCTCATTTGGTATGAAGCAAACCATACACTCTGTAGCTGCTAGTAAAATAGAGTTACAACTCTTTTTGGATTGGTCAACTGATTGACTTAAATTGCAGGGCTGCTATTCTTGTGCTGCATTTGACATTTTCTCTTTTTCTTACCCTAGTAAAAACAAGGGTTTTCACTTTAACATTGCAGTCGATCTTAAACCCAATAAACAATGAGCAATTATTTACCTGAATCAATTAAAATAAGGAAAATGCATAATATATGACAACTTAGGATGTCCTAAAAAGAGGATTCTCCATCTTTGTATATGTATTAATGGTGTCTCAAAGATATTATTGTCAAAACAAAAAGTTGTTCCTTATGCCAAAAAGAATAAAAGATGGAGAGAGGGCATGGAAGAAATGAGAATGCAAAGAAAATGAGAATGCAAAGAAAACTTTTCTTGAAAATGGAATGAGAATATTTATACCAAAAAAAACAAAATGCATATATTCCATGCATTGCATTTTAGCATACTTGCATTTCATCCATAAATAATGCCTGGAAGAGAATGATGGGATGTTGACATGTAGGTCCTTCTCATTGTCTTCAAGCATAAGGTTTTGCAAAGGACCAAAATGACTATCCAATTAGAGCATTGATGTAAACCTTATTGCTCTTTCTTATCAATGCATCAACATATCATGCAAGTATCCTCTTAATTTGTTCGAGTCAAAAGAATATTAGTTAAGAGTAATAACTCTTAGTCTACTGGTTAAGACAAAACTTTCTAACAATTAAAGTTCAAAACTTCAAACTCCATCCAAAATAATCATGTCAAATATTTAAGTACAATAGAAGTATAAAGCTTTGACGAAAGGTATGCATTCCAAACTTGACCCCAGGAGTACTCATATTTCCTTACAATAAGGTAAATGAACATAGCCACTTAGGTTGCCCATAGCTGACATGCTTAAACCAAAAAAGTTAATAAACTGTTCCCACTAAGAGTCAAGCTTGGAACTTTATGATTAACAAATCAATAGCACATCCAACTTGGTTAGGATTGACCATGTCAAGAGCATCTTTGATATTATGCATGGTTGCAATAGGCGCTAAGCGCTAGTCAGACGGTAGAGTAGCGCCTAGCGCCTAGGCGGCTAACTAAAAAAAACTAAAGAAAAATAGTGTACCTGTGTAGGAGCATATATGTCTCACACACACACACACACACACACACACACACACACACACACACACACACACATATATATATATATATATATATATATATATATATATATATATATATATATATATATATATATATATATATATATATTATTTATTTATTTTTATAATTATAAATATATATGTCATATAAATGAAAAAAATTAACAAGGCAGAGTCGACAAAGTTAACTCGCCTAACTCGACAGAAATAGACGAGTTAACTCGGTCAAATTTGACCTAGTCGGCCGAGTTAGGCGCTAGGCGGGCGCCTGCCTAGACGGGATTTTGCAACACTGATATTATATATGGAGCTCCATCTTGTGACCATGGCCGACAAATGACCACAACAAAGCAAAACAACATAAGTTGTCTATAGCTGATCGGCTCAAATCAAGAATATCAAGAGGCCACTTCCATTAATAGTCAAACTTAAAATCTTGTGATTACCAATCTAACAACCCAATTAACTTGGCTGAGGTTGTCCAGTCGGGAGCATCTTGATATTATGTATGGTATGCCAAGTGTAGGGGCATGGAGTGGTGGAGTGGGGGGGATTCAGACAGTGAAAGAAGCTAATGAATAAGTATAGAAGGTGTGGGAAATGGTAGGGGCTCCAATTCTTGAAAGGACGTAACACAAATCCAGAGAAAACAGAGAGGAAAAGGAAAAAGGATTAGCTTTCATTGTGTAATTTCTACTGCGCACCTAGACCAAATCCCAATACCCTAAAACCAGGAAATACATTTTTGGATCTTTCCCCCTCTCTCTCTATCTCTATCTCTATCTCTCTGTCTCCTCATTCATTTCACCAAATCCCCTTCTCTCCGCATTTATTTCCCAAGATCTATCTCTCTCCCCTCCAACAACTTTTCAGTATTGGTGACTGTCACCCCCAAAGAACAAGTTAAAAACAAACAAAGAAAGAAAGAGGTGCAGAGATGGAGGTGAGCCAATTGCAGAGCAGTTTTCTTGGGTACATGACAGAATTATTTCGTGAGGTTAGTAAAATTATATATTAAAAAAGAACCCCCAAAAGAACATGTGGGGTTTGGGTAATGTTTGTTTGTTTGTATTTGGTGATTTTTGTTGTTTGTGTGATGATGTTTTTGATGTATGGTTGAAGGGATTCTTGGATGCTCAGTTTAGTCAGCTCCAGCAACTTCAGGATGAAAGCAACCCTACTTTTGTAGCTGAAGTTGTGACTCTCTTCTTTGAAGATTCTGAAAGACTACTCAATGATCTCAACACAACTCTGTAAGTCCCCACCCCCAACCCACATATCATACATAAATACATATATATACATATAAGTTCTATGAGGTTTGGGATATATAACATGCTTTTTTTTTTGTATGTTTATAGTACTCAGCCAGATGTGGACTTTAAGAAGGTTGATGCTCATGTTCACCAGCTCAAAGGTAGCAGCTCAAGGTAAAGTTATTCTGGATTTTTTTTTTTTTTTTTTTTTTTTTGCTGTTTTATGTAAATTATAAAGAAATAATACTGGGGAAAAGTTAAATCAGCTCATATAATACCCAGGGAACTTGAAGATACAACCAAGTTAAAGCAGCACAGTAAACACTTTTAAGATAAATCACCTTTCAATAAGGCTCAAAACAAGTTATTATTACACAAGAGCGGGGTTTACCCAGTGCATACTCTATTGTCACTAGAAACAAAAAAAGAAGTTATTATTGTCAAAGAACTATAGTCTATCGATATCAATCTATAATTCTAAGTAGGATATCACATTTTCGATCTCTATTCCCTTTAAATGTACCCCAAAAGAAGTTGGAATTAAGGAAATAGTGGTTTCTTGAATGTGTGATTGAACAGCATAGGTGCTCAGAGAGTGAAGAATGTCTGCGTTGCTTTTCGCAACTTCTGTGAAGAACACAACATTGAAGGGTTAGTGCTTTGCTGATCATATGTTTGCTTCATTTTTTTTTCTTGGATTTTCTTGATAATATTTGGGCTTTATGAGTTTCTTATGCCAGAGAACTCTTTTCTTTTGAATATAGGAGCTTGAGATGCTTGCAACAAGTAAAACAAGAGTACTTGCTAGTCAAGAACAAGCTTGAAACTTTATTCAGGGTGAGCCAAACTCAAATTCCTCATTTTTATTAAATCTCTTTGGATCCATAAGTCCAGAGTCCTTGATAATTTATTAATTATTTATATGTATTTATTGGGGCAACAACAGTTGGAGCAGCAGATTGTGGCAGCAGGTGGAGCAATTCCAATATTTGAATAAAAACATAAGCAAACAATAATACTAGGAATTAAGCTAAGGCTGTGGTGTGGACAACTTTGTGAGTTGCTGTGTTTAGTAACAAAATTACTAATTAAATTAAGAGGTTCTCTAAGAGCTACTCAGATCTGTTCTTCTTGTACAATTTGGTGACCATGTCATGCAGTGCTATCATCTTTTTATGAAGTGATTTTTGTCATTCTGAAACCCGATGTTGCTGCTGCTGCTGCTTATTGATGAAAATGAAATTGGTTTCTGATAACTTGCGAGCTATTATGGGCTATAAGATGAACCTTATTTCAGTTCGTTTTTACTGCCATCTTTTTTAAAATTTGAACTCCAAACTTACGAGTCCCTCACTGCTTCTACCCTGGAGACAGGTGGAGGTAAAGCCCCTCACCGCTTCTGCCTTGGAGACAGGTGGGGGAGCCAGGGAGGTAAGTCACGTGATATGTCTCAACTGACCTACAAACTCCTGAATGCCTGCACTAGTGCCTACAACAAAGCGAAATCAATTGCCATCTTTTTTTTTTGTTTGTGAGATACATGTGCACTAGTGTAGTAGTATCATCTATTCCAAAGAGAATAATCAAGAATGAGATGTAGAACCCAATTCCTACCAATCAATGGAGAAGGGTTATATATGGACCAATCATGTAGGAGCATGATTGGATATATATCATTGGAAGATGATATAGAAACTAATAATGTAGGTCTATCAACCTGGAGGGTGTGGTTGAGGAGAAGAGACTCATCCATCCTTAACCAAAGGTCAAGGGTTCGATCCTTGGCTTTGGGAATGGAGTAGTCTTAAATCTCCAGGCCAGCTGTCCCACCCAAAAGAGGTGCCTACAATTCAGCGAGGGGATTAGTCACTGTGTCCGACGGTAGAAAATAATGCAGGTCTATCATGTCTCAACCTCTTGCAAGTGTCAAAAATTTTTAGACTAGTCATAATGTTAACATGTATACAATCATACAAAGGAAAACAATCCACATATCTTCCCCACACGACAAGCTAGGGCCCAAAATCTCATATAGAAGCAAATGGCCTGAAGGTGTGATTTCCATTGGAATCAATATGTTTTCACATCCTTCTGTGATTCCATCTATCTAGTATGGAGTTTCTCCATCTCCCATGATACGCGATACGCAAACTTAAGCACACAAAACCAAAGCATAATACGCCTTCTATATCCAGCAAAGTTCTCAACACTGATTAGCAAACTGTAAACACAAGAAGCAATAACTTAAAACAATGGTCTGTTTTTCATGCCAATAAACTAAAAAAAAAAAAAGTGATTGTCTTGCAATTCTTGCACTTGCACCACGAAACTTTGAGCCATGCTTAATGTCCTTGTTAAGATCTCATTGCACTTGCACCACGAAACATATAACTCATGTATATACATTATACAAATCAAATTTGGGACTTGGGAGTTCTGCATTTAGTGCTTAAAGGCTAAAAGCATAGACAATGAAGATCCATAAACAGAACAGATCAAATTTACCAGAAATTTAAGGTTGACTTTCTTTTCCTGCGTGTAATTTTCATTTTCTCATCATAAACCTCAAATCAACCGTAAAATATTCAGCAATTCAGTTTATACATAATAATTTTTTGAGCAGAGACGATTTATTCCACCAGATCTACGGCAACCTATTCAGTATTCACCATAGACACTAAGTGTACAAGCAAACATATATGGAATTCAAAACACATTTCACGAAACCTGACGCACCAGAAGCCTCCTCGCAGCCGCCGATTTCTGGTCAACATGCACTCCCGAATCGGACTCATCGTGGAACCACCCTACCGATCGCTGCGCTTCCTGAACAATTTGCGAAAAACCTACACAAAACCAAAACAGAATTAAGAAAGAGCTTAAAATCAGTAAGCTCAGTAAGGAGGAGGTACAGAAATACATGAATTATACGGAATACTATGCGTATATGAATGTATGTAAGTATTGTATGTGTAGAAGTAGATAGTGAGACCTCCGGAGACGGTTTGTTTGTTGTGGCGGATGTCGTGGACGGTGGCGGAGATTTTCCAGTAGAGAGGGCGGCCGACGTAGTAGAGCGCTAAAATGACCAGAATGCCTAATAGTACTCTGAATGTTAGCCTCGATGTTTGGGACGCCATTGTCTATCTCCGTGGGAGAAGACTGGGTGATTGAGGAAGCACGAAAGATCTGCACCTCACTCCTGCTGACGACCCTTCTACGTCGTCGTATATCAGTATGCTCATTATGCTGCATTTATTATTATTATTATTATTTTCTTTTTTGAAACAAAAGCAACACTATTTCATTATTAAGTCCGAACGAAGAACATTACAAAGAATATGAGAAGAGTTCAAAAATCACTCCGAGCAATCAGGCATATAAGCAGATTGCCTAGTTAACAGATGGAGAACTTGATTCGCTGAAGGTTTACAGAAATTTAAAGACAAGTGAATAAGAACTCATAAGTTTTTTAATATCCATAATAATAACTTAATAAGATGAAATGAAGAATCTCCCCTATTGCACTTGAAGCTTTGGACTACTTAGAGGGAATTGGTTTTGATTTGGATCCTATTAAGATTGAGGTTCCAATTGAGAGTTTCCCTTATTGTCGTTGTCTCAGTCTCCTCGGAAGATAAAATATTGCGCTATTGTACCCCTCTAGCTGCAATAAATTTGCCTTCTTCATCTCTCAAGATAGTACAAAATCCCATGCAGCTTGAATTTGTATGGGTAGCTGTGTCGATGTTAAGTTTCAGGTAGCCTGGATGAGGTTTCTTCCATGTTGCATTGTCGTTAAAGAACCAAAACTTCTGTTTAATGTAACTGCATTTATAAGAAATAAGGTTCCAATGCTTTACTACTAGGAGACTAATTTGGATTCGACAAGTTGAAATTATAGTATACAACGAGAAAGAATTGAATAGACAGGTAGATTATTTTTTCCGTAAGACAGTGACTAATTCCTTAACTAAATTGATAGACAAAGAGATTATTGTATACATGAAAAAGGCAATACCCAAGTGCGTGGTGATCATTTACATATGTGCAGTGTTGTAAAAATCACGCCTAATCGGCGCCCGATCGCGTCGAGGAACACTGAAATCGACCTCCTCCGTGACTGGCTGCCTAGACAGCCGAACCCCGATTTAAAAAAAAAAAAAAAAAATAGGCAAACTAGTAGCTTTTTCAACATTGCATATGTGTGGACCATAAATAAAAAAAATACATTATTTGACATAAAGTACACTATTTGAGTATTTAAAGTATATTATTTTGTATATTATCAAATAATGTACATTCAATACACAACTAATATATTTTTAGTATATAAAATGTATATTTTGTATTCATGAAAAATACATTATTTAAATACTGAAAGTACATTATTTTGTATAGTGTACATTTAGTACACAAATAATATACTTTTAGTATATTTAAAATGTATTTTTTTTTATAGTCTACACAATAATTTGTTAAGACGTGGCCACAATAAACATTATTTTTTGAATAACAAGTAAGACATATCGTCATTACTCAAGAGTATGAACTGGTTTAGATGACAAGGGAAACCATAGGTCATTGCACTAAGTTGATATTCTCAAAACTCATTGTTACTTAATAGATATGCTCGGAAGCTATTAAAGATTTAAATAAACTCAACTTAATAGATAGTTAGCGAGTTAATACCTAAAATCGTCCTCGATTATAGTGGTTTTTCTCAATTTCGTCCTAATCGACTTTGGTGACCTAATATCGTCCCAGACTTTTGTGTTTCGCTCAATTTAGTCCTCCATTTGTTATTTCGTCAAATTGGTGTTAAATAAAGGGACAATTCAGTAATGTCAATATTGATCTCTCTTTACTTTCAACTTGTGAAGTGCGAAATTCCTCTTTCTTGTACGAATTACACCCAGAAATACTCCCGGACCTGCAAATCAAATTTTATATTTGCAGTTTTAGGAATAATTCTGGGAGTAATTCGTAAAAAAAAAAAAAAAAAAAGGAATTTCGCAGTTCACATGTCTATGAGTAAAGAGATGCCAATATTAAAATTACTGAATTGTCTATTTATTTAACACCAAATGGATAGAATAACAAATGAGGGACTAAATTGAGCAAAAACACAAAAATTTGGGACTAAATTGAGCGAAACACAAAAGTCTGGGATGATATTAGGTCACCAAAGTCGTTTAGGACGAAATTGAGAAAAACCACTATAGTCGAGGACGATTTTGGGTATTAACTCGATAGTTAGCATATGGGGGTGCTAATACCAAACTAGTGAAGGAGCATTTGGTTCAAACTAAAATTAGAACCGGAATCAAACACTTAGTAATTAGAATATGTTCCGATAAACCAGCACAAAAGAGGGATAAACAGGTGCTTTGAATTACACTAGGGCTCATGATCCAAATGCATCACATAACAAAAAATTTGATTTTTCATAAAAAAGTAGTTCTGCTGAAAGTAGAAACCCACCCAGGGGTAATAAAGAACACTAGACAGATTGAATAAAAGGAGTTTTTGAAAGCACAATCTGCCTGTTGCAGGTGCATTGGTTATTATGAATCAGAATCTCGGAGTTGTTTCAGCATGTTATTAAAGTGGGCACGCCTTCTCGAATTCCTTCTGCTCTTTGCGGCAGAATTCAAACTCATTCGTGTTATAATACATGCACCCCGCGTAGTCATCCAACTCTTTCGTGCACCTCTGATGAAGATCTTTCAACCTGCAACAATGCCATTAAATTATCTCAAGCTATTCCATTGGTTTGCGAATGAATACCCGTTAGTTTGAGTACCATGAAAACAATTACAAGCAACAAGTAGAAATATAAGGAACGTATATAACAATCCTTGGCAACTCTTAGAGGCTTAGAGCTTCCATCTGTAAACTTGAATAAACAGTGCAGGTTTCGTGTATAAATATATAGGAATGGAAGTATAGGAAGTTTATATGCCCTTTACAGTCAACTACAGGGTTTGATTTATAATGATTTCGCACTAATAGCTAAACTTATATAAACATAAACACATCAATTTCGAGATGGGATCTCTACACTGGAGACAGTAAAGAATACTCTTTCCGGTTTTTTACATCAAGATGATTAAATTCGAGTAGACCCGTCAGTGCTTAAGGATAACTTCTGTTCCTAGTCAGATATTCCCTGTTTGGTAAAATAGTTAGCCTATCAGCCAATTTTGGCTTATTTGACCACCTGATTGACTTGGTTAAACAATCAATATGAGTGCTTGATTAATTAGCTTTTTGTAACAACTTATTGCTCCAAAATGCTAAAATTCAAAAAGCTGCTCAAAGTAGCTTTGAGAAAGTCATTTTGTATGTAAGAAGCTATCAGCTAATAGCTAATTTACCAAAGACTTTTCTACAATCAGCTAATGCTATCAACTAGTCAAACTCACTAACCCAATCAGCTAACAGCCATTTACCAAACACCCTCAATTATCTACAAGTCTACAACGGTCATCACTTATGAAGAAAGTGTATAGAATTGCATTTTGATGATCTAGTGCTCCACATATGCTTTCAATTGCATGCTTCAATATTGATTAACTATACACTATTACACTAGACTTCCCCCATCATAGATACGTGTAAAGATAGAAAAAGGAAATAAGCCCCGAAAGGGGTGGTCGAGTGGGTGAAGGCGTGGAGCATGACTCCCATACCTAAAGGTCATGAGTTCAATTATTGCGATTTGAAGGTTGGATTTAATGTGCGTCTTGGCATTTTCAAAACTATTAGCACACCTTCCTAAAAGTAGCGTACTAATCGAGTTATACTCATCCTATATGCCTCCAAAGCTATGGCACTCTTAGTTTTGACTTTTGAGGATGCACATCAGATGAATATGAGAATATCATCTGGCATGTCAACCACACACCTCGCTATGTGAACCCAATATGGCTAAATTCCACGATACCAAATCTACGAGACTTCGCCAACTCAATTAGCAAAGACGGCATGCCACATAAAGAAGCAATATGTGCCAAGGTTCGTGAAGAAACTTGTGCTTTAACACACAATAATGAAGAACCAAAACATCAGCCGATAGTTTCATCATTAATAAACTGAAACTCTCATTAAAATGCTTCATGGAAAACAATGGATAGATGATAATGTGTAAGAAAAAGTATTAGAAAACATCAAGAATGTAGGCTTACAGGCCGAGGACACAGCAGGTGACTTGGCGGCCTTTCTCAAGGCATTTTTCAGGGTTGGGATCCTCCTTTTTGCACTTGAGAAAGGCCACATTCTCACTTCTACATCTGGTTTCTATGTGTTTCGAAGCCGCCATTAGAACTGAAGATGTTGGGATAGGATCCCCCTTTGCATCCACTGTGCTTGCCATTCCCAATCTCTCTGCTACAAATTCCACAAATATTAAGAGCAAACAAAAATCAATAATCCATCATAGCTATTAAAAATATAAACAATCCAAGTATCCTTTTACCAATTCTCAGAAACAAAACCTAGATAAATTCTGTCAAATCTAATCACAGAAAAGGGGAATCCGTTTGTTTTTCATGATTTTCGATTCGATTAATGAGCGACCAAATACATGTAAAGAGAAAATTGATCGGAAAGAGGTGGATTTAGCTTAGAACTGGAATTAACAATCTCCAGCATTTCTATGCATAATTTCAACAAAATGCATCAATTTTAATCGATTTCCGCCTGAAAATTCATCAAGAAAATTCCGACCCATTTCATAAAACTGTCCAATTAAGTTCATGATTTCCTCAAAGCAATCGAACACTGAGAATTAAAAACCGAAAAAAAAAAAAAAATCATACCTTTTATATTCTTGGCGAGAAGGAACAGATTCAGGCGTTTCCCGGTGAAGCGTAAGAACTGAGGAGAGAAGAGGAAAATGGTATACAGTAGCAAAAAGGAGAGTGAATTCTATTTTTTGTCCTATTATTATAGGAGCTTTTTCAATTTTAGTCCACCATAATTATTTTTGGAGTTAATTATCAAAATAGTCCCTTGACTATAGTGAAATTACTAATTTGGTCCTTGACTATTTTTGTTACCCAATTAAGTCCTCCAACTATGAAAATGTTAACCAAATTAGTCCTCTGTTAGGTTATCTATCTAACATCTGTTAAATGTGAGGGTAGTGTTGGCAATTCACTTCGCTGCCCAGGCTGCCCAGGCTGCCCATACTTTACCATTAGAGTCAAAGGTTTGGCTCAAGGCTTGAAGACTAAAAAATTCGTAATTCCCAATTTGCAAACCCTACATTGGTGCTGCTGGTCCGACAAGAGCGTGTGCGATTGATGAGTAAACCTTTTGCGGGGAGAATGCTCAGTCGAGGCGGTGGGTGGCGGAGATCGAAGATTCATCTCAACGTGTACTACTATGGCTAGGGACTTACGACGCACGAAACGGCAATTTGCACCGGCGGGGAGAATGCTCGCACCAACTTTGCACCGGCGGCGGCGAGTCGGAGTTGTCCTAATTCGATCATCAGTCCACTCCGATCAATATTCAGGCTCTTTGTCGGACGGTAAGCATGAGCTGGGCTTCTCTTCGTTGAAAGTAAAACTGATCAAGAATCTGCAGAGTATCATGGCGCAGAGGAACAATTACAATTATCGGTTCCAGCTTTCAACACCAGATAATTATTTCTTCTTCCTCACACCAGTGTTCTCCATCGTCAGTAAAAGACGCCGTTACCGGCACCGGCAACGGGCTGTCTACCCCACCTCTATCGTTGAGAGCTAGCAATTCATTCTGTTTTTTTTTTTTTTTTTTTTTTTTTTTTAACTTTTTTACACCAATTTCATTCTGTAAATTGTAATTTATGGGTGCTTAACTGCTTATTAAGGATATAGCATTTTAAATGGATAAAATATGACAAGAGTTTAAAAATGGAATGTACTTCCAGCACAGCCCTCTGGCATTTGACATAAAGAAGATGGAGAAAGTCGTGGGGGAAGCTTCGTGGTGTCGTTTGCTGCTGCGGAAGAGGCGGTGGCATATTATTGTTGCTGGGAAACATTGTCGTCTAGCGTGTCGGATTGCAGCAGCGAGTGGATGGGTTTCAACCGGAAGCACAATAATCTGGACTCTGATAATGAATCTGACACTAGGAAGAGATTTAGCAGCCTGGATGCAATGGAAGTGAAATTCCAACACTACCCTCACATTTAACGGATGTTAAACTGCTGCCCGAACAAAGGACCAAATTGGTTAACATTTTCATAGTTAGAGGATTTAATTGGGTAACAAAAATAGTCAAGGACCAAATTGGTAATTTCGTTATAGTCAAGGGACCATTTTGGTAATTAACTCTTATTTTTGTCACATTGCGTCCACTATTATTAAAAGTGTTCCAATTTTAGTACATTTTAAGATTTTTCATGGACTAAAATTGGAACACTTTTAATAATAGTGGACGCAATGTGGCAAAAATAATTATGATGGACTAAAATTGGAATGACCCCTATAACAGTAGGACCAAATATGGAATTCGCTCCAAAAAGGATTTTCTAATTGAGTAAAATGAGGTAATAACTGAGGGTATTTACGTCTTTTAATGTGGAGTACGGAAATAAGGGTTTTCAATCGGCATTATTTTGGTTGCAGAGGTTTAGGAGAGTCCAAGTAGCCACCGATCTCTTCATCTCCGAACTCCCAAAGCAGAAATTCTGACAGTAAGTTTAATTAAGCATTGCATTCTTGAACTTTATATATGTATATGCGTGTGTGTATGAATATTTCTTGTTAATTCTTGAAATCTATTGTGTATGAATATTTCTTGTTAATTCTTGGAATCTTTATGGGCAGTGGGTTTCCAGTTTTTTTCTCAGTATGTGCATCAGGTTTTTGTCAAATTCTTGGCTTTTTGTGAGCCATTGCTATATGGATGATTGGATTTCCGACATTAACATTTACAGAATTGATAAAGTTTCAATTTTTGTTGGAATAACAAGTACAAGGAATTGTTAATTTGTCGTTTTAGGTTTTTTAATGTCATGTTGTTTGCAGTGCGATCATTTTTACATCACATTACCATATTCTGATTATGAACACACCTGGATTCCCTGTGGAGAACTGGATGAGTTGTTCTTTAGTTTGCGTGTTTCTTGGGTGTTTTAGGGATAATTCTGGTCTAGTAGAGAAAATGGAAGCAATGTTTGGGGGTTATGAAGCTCCTAGAGGTTCAGTAAATCCAATTTGATAAATGCATGATTGGATTTCCGACAGTAGCATTTACAGGATTGATGAAGTTTCAATTTCTGTTTGGAATCGACAAGTACAAGGAAGTGTTAATTTGTTGTTTTAGGTTTAGTGTCATGTTGTTTGCAGATTGACCTGTCTAATTATTCAGGATTTTCTGTGGATAACTGGACGAGATATTCTTTAGTTTTGTTGTATTCGTTACTTGGGTGTTTTACGGATAATTTTATTCTAGTAGAGGAAAAGGAAGAGCGACATTTGGGGGTTATGAAGCTCCAAGAGAATCGGTAAATCCAATTTGGTATGGTTAAATCGATGTGCATTTTAGTGGTAGGGCTGTGTATCCTTTGCAATATCTCGGGCCAGTATGTTCAGTAACTGGCATTATCTTGTGACAACGATCTGGCGTTAAAGCATGGAATTTGATGTTCGATCTGAAATGGTTTTTTTTTTTTTCCAGGTTCAAACTAAGAAATGGGTGACAAGAAGAAGGCGGGTGCGATCTTTGTGAGGCTCGTTTCAGCTGCAGGCACTGGATTCTTCTACGTGGTGAAGAAGACAAAGAGGCTTCAGACGAGTCAGACAAAACTCGAGTTTCGGAAGTATGATCCTCGCGTGAATTGCCATGTTCTGTTCAAGGAAGAAAAAATGAAGTGATGGGTTATCAGAATGCCCAAATGTTCACTGTTTATTTACATCTGATAACTTTTACATTAGGAGACTGCTGAACATTTTAGTTATACAAATCTGTGAAATTTCCCTTCTGAAACTCCTTTTCAAAATAAAAATAATTTAATTATATCTGTTTTTCAATGTTGAAAAAATCGCTAGACGCCTGGGGACCGCCAGGACGCCTAAGAGGCCGAGCGCCTGGGTGCGATTTTTACAACACTGCTGTTTTTACATTATTGAACATGCATTGGGGTTCTCGTCGCTGAACATGGTGTAAACCGCAGAGTCCCCTGAACATTGGCGCAGTACCAATGATTCTCCGGCGTATTCCAGGATCATTTCCGGCGCCGGCTCCACAGAACTGCCGTTGACGGCGGCAGCAGCGGCGGCTTCTATCCCTGCAGCGTCATCCTTCTCGGCCGCCTCTTCATTTTCAGGCGGCGCCACAACCATTTCCACTCTCTTTCTAGTTTTCTTCTTCAGTTTCTTCAACACTTTAGACGGATCCATGTGGCCTATCACCACCACCTTGTTCCCATTCATGTCCGTCATCAACTTCTCAACCCCTTCATGCTAACTCAAATTTAGTGCAATCACAATTAACTCCATCTCCATTCATGCAAATTCATAAAATATTCAAGATTTTCGACCATTCAAAGTAGCAAAAAACTTAAAAGAGTTTCCATTCTAAATCATATTTTGACTGACTTTCTAACCACTTTACGATTCAGAAAACTGTATGTTCCTCACTATTTTCGACCATCCAAAAGTTTGTGAAGATTTTCAACCATTGAAAGCAGTGAAAACCTAAAAGTTTTAGTAAAAAATCATGTTTTTGACTAACTTTCTAACCACTTTAAGTATCCACAAAACAGTTCTTCACTATTTTCGACCATTAAAAATTTAGTCCAGAACCAGAAGCAGTCAAAAGAGTAACTTAAAAGAGTAACTTAAGAAAATGGAATGGTGGGAATTGAACCTTGGATTTTAGAAATGGTTTTTGCAACCCTTCTTTCACAGGCATTACAGTGCATTGAGACCTTGAATTCTGCCGTCACAACCTGGATGGGGAGGAATCCGTTTGAAACAAATTTTATATGTACATATATATACATATAGAGATTGTACGAGGATAAATGGACATAATTAAAATACTAGGAATTATTTACATTATTGTCTTTGTCTGTGTTCTCCCCGGCCATCGGAAGAGATGGACGATCAAAGACCGGTGACGTGCAGAATGGACGAAATGTTTTTTCTTGGCTTATTCAAACTTCTTTAATTTTTCTATGAACCAATGAAACGAACTAATATAACTGAATAACCGGTCATATATATATATATATATACTAGTTCGAATATAATGTCCGTTCGAAAGTTGAATTTTCAAACTGAATGATTTGAGTTCTGGGAACGGGTATGACGTTCAGAACCAAAACTCAAAGTTGGTACAAATGATTTTCGTGAAATACATAAAATAAATTATTAATAACCACAAAAAGTACATAAAAAAACAAAATTAAGGAAAAAAAAAAAAAAACATTTTTTATCCGACAAGGCGACAAATATGTTAAGAATTGACGACGTTACATTTCTTCCTTATTTCCCCAGCACTGCCAGTCAAGACTCCGATGGCTCCCATCCTCTTCATGGACTGACCGAACTCCGTGAAGAATTTCCCGGCGACCAGCATCTCCTCGACGATCTTGGCGGCGCCGTTGTCGGTGAGGAGCGCGGCGTCGGATTGGAAAAGGCCCTTATGCTGCTTGACGGCGGAGAAATAGAGGTTGTCAAAGTTGAGCGAGCCGGCGGGATCCATTTCCACGGTGGTGGTGTTGTCGGAAAGGGACTTGCATTTGGCCTTCAAGACGGCGGCGGCGTAGGCGGAGTCCAACGACGGGTCGGAGTCCGATTTCCCGGTGAAATTGTACAGGCGGTTGCTGAAAAAGTTACAGTGGCCAACTCCGACGGTGTGCGCCCCCGACAAGACGACCAGATCGTGAACCGTGAGGCTTTTGTTGGCGAAAGATTGCCGGAGAACGGTGAAGTTGGAGAACGGCGACGGGATGTTGGCCAGCGCCTCCGACGCCCGCGAAACCTTCCCGTCCCTTCTTCCGGTCAGCACTTCCCACATCGGTTTCTTGAACTGAAATGAAACTGAGTCTCTTGCAGATAACGCCACAATGTCGGCGCACGATACAACTCCGGCGCAGGTCTTCTCCAGTTGGGTCTTTATGTCATCAATTACGTCGAAGCCGCCGAGCGATAGATTCGGAGGTGCAGCCTTCTCCGCCGTGTTGTTCGCCGTCGAGTCAATCAACACGGAGCCATCACAACCCTATATACAAAATCATCCAATTTGCAGATTTGCATGGAATATATATAAATCTACACACACATATATATACACTAGGAGTAGAGTAGAGTCTAGTACTTAAACGGTGTAGGCGGTCTAGGCGGTTAACTAAAACAAAATAAAAAGCAGTGCATCTCTGTAGGTGCATATATGTCGTAATTTATCTATATATATATATATATATATGTTCTGAAAAAAAATTAACAAAGTTGAGCCCTACTGGTTAATTCGGCTAACTCAATTGAAATGGACCAATAATTAACTGGGTCGAGTCAGTCGAGTTAGGCGTCTAAGGCACTGTTTGCCTAGGAGGCAAATCGTCACTGTCTAGGGGGGCAGATTGCCGGACGCCTAGCGCCTAAGTGGTGACTATGCGGGCACCTAAATCAATTTTTGCAACAGTGATATATATATATATATATATATATATATATATATATATATATATATATACCCTAACAAAGCAGTCAATACACACACATATATATACATACCCTAACAAAGCAGTCATGGAAATGCATCCTGAGCAGCTTAGCAGGCAAAGTGGCATTGGCGGCGACGCGTGTCCAGGTGATATTTTGGATGATCTGTTCCGCCTGAGGACAGCTATCTTTGTAGAAGCCCTTCTTCAGGTCACCGGCGGCGACCCCTCCGGCGAGAAAAACTGCCAATACCAACAAAAGAACAAGCTGCAGGAACGTTCCTTTCATCTCCGATATCTCTCTGATCTCTCAATATATTCAGTCGCAGCCTATATATACTCCCTACTTATCTATATAACATTACAATATAATGCTTTCTCTGCACATATAGTTAGGCTTTTTATAGAGGAATGAAGATGATGAGCTCTACCCATGCAAGAGCTAATAGCTTACTGCTAAATCACATGCATTTTGATACCATTTAACTCAATAAATTAATTAATAGTTGAGGAGAGGTGGTTTAATTATTTATGGTAGCTACAACTTATATAGACTGACTACTTCCTTTGAAAACTATTGTAGCTTGTCAGTTGTCAATGGATACATCCAACCTAGCAGCTTCCATGCATATATGAACTCAGTAGATTCAAGAAATTCTTAATATTGGGGCAACCTAGCCAAGTTGTTTCGACAGTTGTTTTAGTAATTACAAAGTTTTAAGTTTGATTATCTATAGGAGTGGCCTATTAGCATTACATTCTCGATTGGAGTAAGTCAACTATTGACAACCTAGATTATTTTACGTCTTTGTGGATATTTGCTGGCTAGGATTGTAATAAGGCGGGTTTCACATAGAGCTAACATTATTCAGTTAGCGATTGTAGGTTTTCCCATAAATGTAACTCAAGAAATTCATAATAGTCCGATTGTAATTGGTTCGTCGCTCGACTTAAAGGTCATGACTGGATGCGACAATATGGGGGTTTGAATCTCACTAGAAACATGTATGGAAAAAAGACTCAATGATATATGGAAAGTCTGAATTATTGGATCCTTTGTGCACACATGAAGACTATAATCTGTCCGGTGGACTGATTGCGCAACTCACAATTTACCTCCGCAATGACCCCAGGGGCTAGGTTCTGTGGGCTTAAGATTAGTCCGCCGAATCTGAAATCACCTAACTTTATTTTTCTTTTTAAATCATAATATTGAAACAAGATTAAGAAAATGGCGTTTCTCATCCATGTATTTATATAAATAAAATATATAGTGATTTCATTCTTTTAAGGTTGATATAAGTATTATTCATGATCTTTTAATTAATTTTTCATAAGACGGAGATCGTTAAACTGAAGTCCTTTATATATTTGTATTGTAGGTATACTGAACCAATTAATTAATATAGAGGGAAAATTCTAATTTTCAATTTTAAAGTAATCGTTGATAAGTCGAGGAATTAACCAGAACTGTCGCCTTATGAAATAAGGGATTAAAATTGTCAATCACTTCGTGGAAAATTGAATGATCAATATATACAATACTCACATCAATAATTGAGAGAGTGGAATTGTTATTTTGTATAAATACAAAGAGATTTTTTTTTTTTCTAGAACTTATAGTATGTAGGTTTATTAGTGAAATTGACTTAATTTTGAGCTTGGTTAAAATTTGGTTAGACTTAATAAATGGCATTATTAATAATAATGGATTAAAGATATATAATTGTATATAGTAAATCCTTGAAAGTGAGTATATATAAGTTTGAATCATAAATTAAAGTTAAAAATTGAACCTCTCACCATTCTTGTTTTCGAAAACTAAGGGGATGAGATGTCCTGGACTCTCAATTATTTGTACACTAATGTCTACAATAAGGTTAAATATAATCTAAGTCTTTTTTTTTTTTTTTTTGTCAAAATAAAGCTTATGAGCTTATTTTACGTTAGTTGACTAGTTGATTTGTGTTCGATGACAAAATTTTTAATAAAATGAAGATTTAAACTCCTAATAACCTGAAACAATATTTTTGAAAGTCAATATATGGTATTATTACTCGGGTTTGTTGAAGTAGGTCAAACAATATTTCCTACCAAAATATTTAAGCTAATTTAATTTTGGCAATTAAGGGGTATTATATAATTTAATTTTTAGTCAAAAGTATGCTTTCTAGCATATATATATAGTATTGGTTAGATCCACCAAGCCTGCAATACAATAATCTCATACTTATCCGATTTAATGTTTCATTTTATTTTTTGTTAGCCATTATAATATTTATGCATATTACTAAACCAATAAATATGACTGAATAATCATTAATTTCCAATAATTAATTATGCATGATTAAGCTTAGTCAAAGTCCATGGGACATAAACTGATAGTTTGGTAACTGGTACACATAAACAATGTTCCATGCACAATATACTTTACTATATCGAAACTTTTTTTCTAAGAAATGCATGCCTCTCTTATTCGAGTTCTAACCTTATAATAATAATTTTAAAAAATGAAAATTTGTTTGAATAAATTTTAAGTAAGATTATATTTTTGATCTCACAATTGTTCTCCATTATTATAAGTTGGCCTCTTCATTAGTATCAAACTAGCTAGGATCGATATGATGGACCAAATTAACGATATTTAGAAAATTTGAGCTGAATTTCTAAAACTTGACAATGATGGATTGGCTATTTGCATTTCTGAAACACTCTCAATTTCAAAAGTTGACATTACTACCATATTGCAATTCACCACTAGTTTTCTACACAAGCAATTTCGACTCACCTTTAAAATATAATAATAACAATAATGACCAACAACAACAACATTTTTATTAATTAAAAACAATCAAATTAGCCAGTCTATTGACTTGATAACTAAAATGTTACAATTAAGTTCAACTCCCAACAAGAGCAACCTATTGGTTGTTTTGGTTTGAGCATATCAGGATAACCTAGGTTGGCTTACTTCACACCCTCGAGTAATGACATGAAAAGCGCCAGATCATATTGTAATTCCTTTCACCTGCAAGTATGTTGGTTTACCTCACAACCCCAGGTAATGACATGAAAAGCGTAAAATCATATTGCAATTTCTTTCACTTGCAAGTACGTTGATTGTCTAAATTGCATAATGGGTAACAATTGAGAAACCGAAAGTGTAATTTTTATTAAATTCTAATAGCAATTTGATTTTAAATTAATCAATTCTAGTGTTAATAATAATAATAATAATTATTGTTATTGTTATTGTTATTGTTATTGTTATTATTGTGAGCATATATCCATTAATGTGTATCCAAGCTTAAGCTTTTAGTTGAGATGGAGCACATACTTCAATTTGGTATCAGAGCCAGACCAAAGGTCATGGGTTCAAATCTCAACGCCACTCGTAAGTGACAACGGTTTACCGGTTCACGTGTTGGTTGGAATCCACCGTACACGTGAGGGGGCGTGTGAGCATATATCCATTAATGTGTATCCAAGCTTAAGCTTTTAGTTGAGATGGAGCACATACTTCAATTATTATTATTATTATTATTATTATTATTATTATTATTGTTATTGTTATTGTTATTGTTATTGTTATTGTTATTGTTATTGTTATTGTTATTGTTATTGTTATTGTTATTGTTATTGTTATTGTTATTGTTATTGTTATTGTTATTATTATTATTATTATTATTATTATTATTATTATTATTATTATTATTATTAGTGCTAACTACTCTTGCTAGTATATACCAATTTTAATAAAACTCTAAACTTAATCTATTGGCTCCCTTTAATATATTCAGACAAATTTGGTGTGATTGTGTGAATCAATGTGAATCCAAGACGTAAACCAAAGTGATAATTTGTGTTCAAAAAAACAACGATCAAAGTCAACTATAACATGCATGCATTATAATGGAAATTATTCCTTAATTATGTCTCGGAAAATGTTTTTTTTTCTTTCTAATTTTTAAGGTCTCTTGCTTATGTCCAAAAGATGAGTGGATGAGATAAATCGCAGAATGTGCATCAACTGGTCTACAGGTCTCCAAAAGCCAAAGGTTTGCATATTAGTACTGGATCCGAATCATATATATATATATATATATATATATATATATATATATATATATATATATATCCTGTGACTACTAGCTAACAAAGCAGAGGTTATAAATTTATTTTGAATTGTTTGATCAGTTGAATTTATGTCCCGTAACTTAGTTTAAATATATACGTATCGTTCATGCATGAAGATTCTCACTTCACATGCATGGATACTGGTTATTTATTTATTTATTTTAATTTTTTAAAAAATACAATTGTTTAAGCAGCTGTTTGGTATCCTGATTAATTTCTTATTTGAGCACTAAGTCAACGACTCAACGCACTTCCAATAGGCCTTGTAATAGGCACAGCTAAGAGCAAGCTCCAAACAAAGAGTAACCGAAGATAATAGTCTTTAAGACTTTCAAAAAATAAAGTAAATAAATACATCAATATCAATATAATTATAATTTATAATGAATGAAATATTATAATATAATTGGAAAACAATTATTACAATCAAATTCAGTCAACTATAATACTTGAAGGAACTAAACCTTCACATAATATGATACAAATTAAGTGTGGTCTACAACGTGATTGATGGTAAAAAAAAGTGTGATAAATTAATTGTTTATTTTTAATTGATCTATATTTATTTTTTGTCATAGATTTAAAGGTGACAATTCACTTTTAGTCATTCTTTTTCAAAACATTCTATTTAGTCCTAGTATTATTGTGGCATGGCCATGTTTTGTCCCCCGCCAATAACATCGTTGAAATGTCATTAAATACAAAGATATTTTGATAATTTTTATACAAAGTGAGTTGACCCACTATATTTTTATTTTTACTTGAAAAAGAATTCATAATTGAGACCTAAATGTCCTTGTATTTTACAAAATTTCAATGATTTTGTTGACGAAGGACCAAAAATAGCCATGCCACAATAATACTAGAACAAAAGGGGGTGTTCTGAAAAGAAAAGAAAAAAAAAAAGTGTTTCATTACATCTAAGGCAAAGTGAACTATTGATACATATTCATTTTTAACATATTTATTTTTAAATAGTACACAAAAAATGAACATGTATATCAGTGACTCTCCTTGGTTCATTTTTTGCTACTTCAGGATTTCAGCCTTTCATTATGCTACTTCAATCAAGTGCTGAATATACTAACACATGGGAAAATGTTACAGCACAACCTAACAAATTTCAATTATCTAGCTGAGTTACAATTCCATGCTCAAAAGAACAAAACAAAACAAAAAGAGATTGACAAGATTTTGGTTTGAAGCTCTTCCTCAAGGTTGTAATGACAGAATTCCTGCAGAAGACACAGAGTCCGGTGTATAGAGTCTGGGAAACAAATAAGAATAGTATTATCATTCATATGTGTGTAGTATGAACGAGAAGCAAATTTCCAAATGTTTGGGTTTAGAGTCATCTTCTGACACATCAAAGCAATAATTTGTCACTTGTTTCTTAGTTTTTCGAATTTTCATAACGATAACATTTATATGGAGTAAGCCCACTAAGCATCAGGGGTTGGCCTAAGAAGCTTATGAACCCCAAGAAATTGTTATCTGGAAAAACCATGTCAGTCTAAAAACACTGTTCTAATACATGGTATCCAAGTAGTAAATAGTCATTCCTTATCAACAATCTCGCTAGGTAAATCCCTTATCTTATTTTCAGGGGATAGCAATTACCATATACTCGATTGTTCGGAATGTGGGCAAACTAAGAATTTCTCTTTGGTTCTGCATCATGCTTTCTCCACGGATTGAGAGCCTCTTTAATGGCTTTGGCTTCAGGGGAACTATCCCAGGCCCTCTTTTCTGCCTCCAATTCGGTTACCTTGTCATCTGAATGCAAATTGCAACAAATTAAGACATTGAACAAGCGATCCAGCTTCAAAGAATCAGAACATCTCAACAATGTTTTAAGGCAAACTGAATTAAAAAATTTTATTTAAGAAAACTAATACACAAGAATCTAACGTTGTTATCAAATTCCTTATTTTAACTTTTTCTTCTCTTCTTATGATATATATAGGCAGAGCAAATGATGAGACTAAGAAAGTTTTGATTCCATTCAATTCCTCGGAAAACAACTATGATTCATGCAGGGCAGGTGCAGATCATGATGATCCGAGCAAAGCTATTTAATCTTTTGTAATGAATAGAACGTGTAACTTTTCACTTGTTAGAAGTGCTCACCAAGGTAACCAGACTCTTGTAGTTATTATTATTTCTTCGAGAAGGTATTATATATACATTCCATCAAAACTTAGAAAAGATTAGATTTACACTAACAATTTTTGCCTTAAAATAAAGAAAATCTTACACAGCCAGTCTCAGCCATTTTGCAAAGACAAACATTATGGTGAGGGCAGTGATAGATAACTAATCTATCAACTATTAATTATATACGTAACAAGTGTCTATTTAAAATACTTACAGTTATAATAACTTAGGGCGGGTTCACTCAACCACAAGTATTCAACAAATATGGAAAATTGGACTAAAGAGGGATCAAAAGGCTTTCAAGCTAGCTCAATCAAGATTTAGCTACACTCTTGGAGTTCAAGTTTGAGTCGAGTTGAAACAACATTTTGCATAGCTCAACTAGAATGTATCATTAATGATACCCAAAAAAAAATACTTTATTTACTGTATGTCATTCAAGAACTAGTATGTTAACAGCTAGCAAAAGCTCTCTGCTAAAAGCCTAATACACTTTCTAAAAGGCATTATATGCTGGAAACTCAGCTTAATTTAAAGGAATTTGCAATTCAACTCAAGGTCTGGAGCTAATAGAAGTTGCTTACTTTCCTAGTAGCGAAGGAAAAGGGCAGGGCTGCTGGTATTCTCGCCCAATTCATACCGGATTGTACTTAAAACCCAACTACACTATCCAAATCAAATATCAATTTGTTTATTTATTTTGACGGTAAATTAGTGGGGGGTGGTGGATTGCGCTCTGACTTATACATCCATGAGGCTTCACCTTAGCCAACTAAGCCAGTGTCATTGATACAACAGGCCTCACCTGCCCGTAAACTCTTCTAAACCAGGAAACAGGACATACATTCAAATCCTAACGGTGAATACACCAGTTATGCAAACACCCTGAAATGAATCCCTTGGTGAAGAACAAATACATCTCCAGCCTATTGACCAAAAGACCCAGTTAAACTGGTTTGAGAGGATAAACAGATATGGGGAGAATTCAAGCTCATGCTGAACTGTGCCTTCACTTATTGAAGGCTCTTGTATTATTTGAGTGCTAAGATAATGGGAATATGTCCTAGAAGTTGTGCAGAAAATTCCCAATTCATTGATGCAAAAATCAACACAACTACAATGTATCAACCACAAACTTTTTCACGTATTAACCACTCCGGAGAAGCCATAAGATCAAAACTTTCACTAAAAGAATGGAATTTCTACTATGAATCCAAACTCACTCTAATCAAATCCATCAAAGACACCCAAAAAAAAAAAAACAAAAACAAAAAACAAACAAACAAACAAACAAAAACAAAACACACACACAACTTTAACAATGCAATTACTATAATGCAGAGCTAACTTTGTATACTGTAACATAAAACAAAAAGAGGAAAAATAAAAGGATAGTCCTCATACAGAAGCCAGTTTTGACCATGAACAACTCCATGGAGCCTCCAATCATGGCTGAAACGATTGCTATCTTCACGTACCAACCCAAGAATTTCATTTTTAATTCTTAATTTATTTATTTTTACTTTTCTCTGCTTCAATATCTGAAAATGAGATGGAGACGCACTGAAAAAAGGAGACTTGGCGGTATTGGAATAGGGATCTGTTGAGAGGGATAAAGAGCAAGAGAGGAATGAAGCCTGAGATTAAGGCGTAATACTGGATGCTGAGAATCGGAGAACCAGAGGCAATAAGTATTGGAGGTCGGATTAATGGGAATCCGATTTATCTAGGATCGAACTGCCATTGAGCTTGAATCCGATCGGTGTCTGCTTGAAAGAATTAAGAATGTTCTAGTGAAGATTATCAGAGGTTTCTGCGAGGGATAAACAATAGAAAGAACGTTCTTACAGAATTGGCTGATTTAGGGTTTTAGATTAAATTTGGGGATTTAGGTTACAACCTTAGACTAAATAAAATAACAAATGAAAATCGTGCGTACAATAGTCAATTTTCTAACTTTGTAAGTATGGAGTCATATTAGTATTTTATTCACCAAATGTCTTAAATTATTAGGTTATAAATTTATAATTTTGGGCCTTTTATAATTAACGGTGGTTATTTAGTTAGTTTTATTCGCAAAGATGTCAATCGGGTAGCTCATGTTCTAGCTAAAGATATAAGTGCGATTTGAGTACAATTCTGGAGGGAGGCTCCTTCTCATTTTGTTGATATTTCTTTGATTTAATGCAATTCATATGAAATTAAATAGGGTAAATTAGAGAGTGATTTGATAGTCGTGATCTAAAATGTAAGTGGGTTGGGGAGAAAGAAATTCGTAAAATCGAAATTCATAGCCATTCGTAAGTGGTAGTTGGATTATGAGAGGGGACGCTCCCCTTAGACCAATGCAATACCTTATCAGAAAGTGTAGGAATTGGAGGGAGAAGTTATGTGACATTACGTGAAAACACGTCTTGGTGGACATTCGGGTTAAGGAGGACTCAACCACAAGAGAAGCTGGCAAGAGATGACGAGTCCCCACCCCATGGCCGAACAAGCGCTTAGTGATGACCGTCAAGGGATACGACTAATCTGAGATTCTGATAGCAAGGAGAATTAACGAGAACCATTAATGGTTTTAAGTACTCCCTCCAGCAATGAGAAAATAAAATATAAAAATCATCGATAACTTCTCAATACGTAATTGATTTTGTTAATTTAAACACATTCATAAGAAACATATATTAGTAGGGGTTATATGACAACCTATCACAATCACATTTCATATTATTTACATTATTTTAGTAACCTCATAAAGATAACTGATATCATCTTTTATCAAGTATTATTAACATTATAATAGTTTTCATGTATTTCATATAAACTCTTGTAATTTAACTACTAAAGCGTTAGGATTATTACGATTTTGTGTTACAACTAGTGTAGCTATACATATTATGATAAATATATTATTTAAGATTATACTATTATTGGGTTTGGCATTTTTGCTGATTATATTCTTTTAAGATATGCCAACATTCTCATTGTCATCATCATGGAGTCATGGATGCTATGTTAATATGTTTAATTTGCTGTGTTCGTACCTAATGTTGCACGTGAACAAAAATATTATAAAATTTGTAGATTAAGTTTAATACGGAGTATGAGGAATGTCTTACTCTTCTATAACTTATAAAAAATATTCCGTAATACATTTTAGTTAACTTGGACTCTGTGGCAATTGGCAAGAAGAAGTGAAGTGTGGGTGAAGTATGTTAGGCACTTGGCATGTTTGTGGGTCCCACCGAGTGCCACCCACCACAAACCGTGATGATGGGAGACGGGGGCAGTCTCTGTCGCCTGAAATTCTTGTCATCTTCCTCCCTCCCTCCCTCCCCAAACGCCAAGACTTTCCACTCCACTCATCAAATCCCTTCTTCTCTGTAATTTCCATCGACCCATATGTTTCCTCTACTCATACATATACTCCCTTCGTATATCTATCTCTGTCTGTATGCTCTTGCAAAGAAAACTCAATAAAGCCAGCTCCTTTTTCTCAGTTCAATTCGTTTTCTTGATTTTACACAGTAATGGAGACCCCCAAAACCCCCGAACAAGACGCAATCTCTAGTTCAGCTCCAGATGGCGATGACGCGCGCCCAGTTTCTCCGTTATCGCCGCAGGTTAGCATTACTATTATCTTTCTTCTTCTTCATAACATTTCATAGAATTACAGTGTGTGTTGACTGCAGGCGGGTTTTCAGAAGAGGGAATCGGCAAAAGCTGCGGTGAATTCTATGAGGCACCCGGATCTGTCGCTTCAAATTCCTCCGAGAAATGGCGTTGGGAGCAGCAATCGGAGTAAGTGTTTGGTTCAGTCTCCGGGGGTTTCGAATGGGAGTCCAACTGGGGGAGGATTCTTTCGGGGTTTGAGCTTCAAGAGGAAGATTGCGGGCGCTTCTGAGGGTGAAAGGAGCTCCCTTCTTCGTCCGGATTCGAAGATAGCTCCAGAAAGCCCTATTTTTTCGAGTTGGAAGAGATGTACTTCTTTGCCTGTGACGCCTGCTTCAAACTCCTCCCCTACTGTGCCTACACCTACTTCTGCAAGGACAGTAGGTGAACGGCAGAAATCACATGTAATCTTTCCCTCTGCTTTGTTAGGTAGTATCTTTCATTGTTGTTGGTTATGGCTTATGGCTTATGGGTGTGTTTGTGAGAACAGTGAGATTGGTTGGATTGGAGTGGTCTAGCTATGGTGATGGTCAAATTGGAGTGGTACACTACACCCACTTATTAGTGGTGACTGTTAGATTGGACTATTGGAGTGGTGGGGTGGTCTATTGCTTCTCCCAAAAGGTTGAATCCTTAACCCCAAGGGCCGCCCATACCCCAGCCCGTCAGAACATTTGGGAAGATGTAAATCACGATGATTCAATGACTCAGCAAACAGGGCCAAATGCTGCCTGCTGAACCATTGAGTTAAGCCCGTGCGGGCAGGAGTGGTCTATTGGTCTCACCTGTTAGTGGTAGCGGTCAAATTGGAGGGGTGGCGGTAAGATTGGAGCGGTGGAGTGGTCCATTGCTCTCACCCCTTAGTAGTAGCGGTTAGATTGGAGTGGTTCACCATTCCCGCTTGTTAGGGGTGGCAATCACATTGGAGTGATCCATTGCACCCACCTATAAGTGGTGGTGGTCATATTGGGGCGGTCCACCGCCCTCACCTATTGGTGGTGGCGGTCATGTTGGAGTGGTTCACCGTTCTCTCCTATTAGTGGTGGCTATTATATTGGAGCGGTGTCCACCTCTCTCACCTATTAGTGGTGGTGGTGGTGGTTAGATTGGAGTAGTGCATAGCTCTCACCTATTAGTGGTAGCGGTTACTCGGTTAGATTGGAGTGGTTCGCCATTCCCACTTATTAGCAGTGGCAATCACATTGAGTGATTCATTGCACCCACCTATTAGTGGTGGCAATCATATTGGAGTGGGGCACTCTCCCACCTATTAGCGGTGGTGGTGGTGGTTAGATTGGAGTGGTCTACCACTCCGACTTATTAGTTGTGGCGGTCAGATTGAAGTAGTCCACCACTCTTACCTATTAGTGGTGGCAGTCATAGTGGGATGGTTCACTGCCCTAACCTATTAGTGGCGGCAGTCATATAGGAGTGGTCCATTGCTCTCACTTATTAGTGGCGGCAGTCATATAGGAGTGGTCCATTGCTCTCACTTATTAGTGGCGGCGGTTATATTGGAGTAGTCCACCGCTTCATCAATGGTGGCAGTTAGATTTGCAGTGAAAAAAGTTTTCATCGTTTTCTTTACTTAAAATACTTTAGCAGTTTAAAAGAAGCCGCTAACAATGAATAGGCTTGATTTCTTTATGGCCTTAATGGCTGCGAGAGGATGCAAGTATGTGTGTAACAAATTGTTTCTGTTTTTAGTCTTTGCGAACTGGCACGTCTCAAGCTGCTGTTACAAGGTCGCTTTCCGTTGTTATTGTGAGATCAACATCTTTTCCCACCCGCGAAGAGCAAGACCGTAACACCGATGATGGTATGTCATTTGACTTTCGGTTTGCATTTGCTTTTTAAGCATTTAAGAACTTGTAGAAGATACTAAGATAGACTTTAGGTGTTGGCTATGATTATATTTAATGTTTAAGTTTGGCAAGCGATTGTTTAAACCAGTGTGTGTGTTTACACATTTCTGTTCATCACTATAGTTTTAGAAAAGAAAGTGCTATTTAAGTTGTGATTTCCATTCCTTGCAATCTCTTGATGGACAATGTCTGCGGTTGTGAGTCAAGCACGCTTAACCACAGAGTTCCTTGGCTATCTGGTTGTCATATTCTACTTAAAATCAATTGGTGATAAGTAGGTGGACATTAACCATTTAACCACATCCCTCTATGGTAATCCACAACACCACGTCTCGAATCAAGCAGGGGCTGAACTTGGCCAACCCAGCCGACGCCCAACAGGAGTTGGTAACATTATGTGAACTAACTGTTCATCCTTTATCGTCTTTTCAATAAAACTAGAAATTACGCCTGCGCCCGAGGAAGAGGATCACGAGATTCCTGAAGAGGAAGCTGTTTGCCGAATTTGTCTCGAAGCATGCAGCGAAAAAAACACGCTGAAGATGGAGTGCGGTTGCAAAGGTGACCTCAGGCTCGTACACGAAGACTGTGCGATTAAGTGGTTTAGCATCAAAGGGAACAAAGACTGTGAGGTGTGTAGGCAAGAAGTGCTAAACTTACCCGTAACTTTGCTTCGGGTGCCAAGTACCGCTCATCGAGATGCCAGACATGAGCCTAACCGGCAGAGTTTGAACTCGCAACAAATAAGGTGAATATGATATCTCGAGTGTATGATTAAATTGAATCCAAAGTACAATACTACAATTGGTTACTGCAAGAGTTACTAACGAGTATTTTCGTGCATTCATCCAGTGCTTGGCAGGATTTTGTCGTACTTGTCTTGATTAGTACAATATGCTACTTCTTCTTCCTCGAGCAATTGCTGGTGAGTTATTCCATTTTCGCAATATCACTTTAATTTTCCCCCCTTTAAGCTGAGTTCCATATTTTTATTAAAGAACCAAAAGGGGAAACACCTTGAAGATACGCCATTATTTTTTTTAGTTGGAAAGAGGAAGTAAGTCATCGAATCTTAATTTCACGCCCCTATAAATGAACATTAATTGAATAACTTAGTATAATGACACTAGTACACTAATTCAGCCAAATATGGAGGAGTACGGGTGTCATCTTGTGAATACTATTTCCTTAAACACAATCCCGTGTATTCCAATAATAGCAAATATTTGTTTGTTTATTCTATCTCTTCTCTCTTTGCAGATCCGCGACATGAAAACTCAGGCACTCATGATTGCCGCGCCTTTCGCATTTGCATTGGGCCTTTTGGCATCTGTATTTGCAGTCATACTAGGTACGGGTAATTCTCTTACGTTACCTTAGAGCAGCATGATAACTTATTACTAAAATCCTCTCTTTCGGTTCAGCAATTAAAGAGTACATATGGACCTACGCCGCTATAGAATTTGCTCTGGTTGCTCTAATCCTGCACCTCTTCTATTCTATGGTGAGATGTGACAAATTTTCTTCCCGAATCTTTTAATTTCCTCCCGTCTCAACTAAAAGCTTAAACTGATAGTGAAACTATACATTTATATATTAGATCAGTTAACCATGACCTAGGACATTTTGCTGAACCACCCCCCTCCCCTCCCCGGCAACTAATACACGAAAATCTGTGGTTTTGGCAGCTTCATTTGCCACCAGCGTATTCTGTTATGCTGGCATCGGTTTTGGGTTTTGGAGGTGCTATGGGTCTCAACTATTTGTATATTAGATACTATACCTGGAGAGTTCAAGTTTCCCAAAACTCTAACCCAGTGTGAGCCTGCAAAGTTTTGAATGCCAATTTGCTCCTTTCGGAGGAACATTACACAACGGCGCAGTGGTATTATTGTATGTGTTTTTCCTCGAATGTGTAGAAGTGTCGTATCAACGGCTATTATGCGCAGGATTCTCGAGTCCTATGTTGATTGGAATCATGTTGGCTTCTGCAAGTTGAAAGCTTAGCAAATTCTTCTCCTAGGATGAGGTTATTAGGGACTTGTATAGTTAAAAGTGTGTATACTGAACAGGGAACCAGAGTTGATGAGTGAAGAGTATCCATGAAGCAACTTTTGCTGGTTCTCTCCTTTTGGTTTTTAAGATTTGGACCATTGTTGTTATTGTTATTTGATTATATCCAGTTATTTTTTTATTTTATTTTTTTGCATATAGCAATCAGTATCTTCACAAATCATAGCATTTGTACTTTAATTTACGGGAAAGCCCACAATAAATTAGCTTAAGTTGCCTATTGTTTATAGTTAATTAGCTCAAACCAAAAAAATTAATGACAGTTCTCATTGATATCAAACCAATTGTTCGACTAGCTCATTTGTACACATACTCAAAGGGAGATCTAACTAGAACTCTTTACAATGTAAGAAAAGAAAATTGTTTAAAATTCAATGTGACTATTGAATAATGAGTGCTATGGTAACCCAAAAAAAAAAAAAAATCTAACTTTCCAAATACCAAACAAAAAAATAGAAAAAGAAAAAAAAAACAGTTAACTAAATTGGAAGAGTGTAAATCTGCAATGCAGTAACCAAGAGTCAAGACTATAATTTCTAGTATGGGCAGCTGTTCATAAAAGACTATTTACCACATTGAAGGAACACTAGACCACTCTGGCATGGCCTAGTAGATACTACAAGCAATTGTTGACAAAGAAAAACTCTAGTTGAAGAAGTATTAACCAGACTTTTCTGCAAAAGGTAATTACCATCTAGTTCCACCAGTGCTTTGTACAAAAGTCAACATAAAAAAGACCACTGTCCAGGTTTTACCAAGATTTCAAATAAAACAGAGGGACTAATAAATCATTAACTGGCAAGGCTCATTGGCAAAAAGCTGGAAACCAAGGAGATGATTGAGGTTGCCATGCCAGAGGAATCTCTACAGCTATGGGTGCTTGTTTTGATTTGAAGCTTCAAAAATTAGCATGGCATATATCCCAGTTTGATGTTAATGTGAGGGCAAACATTTATCCTTGCTGCTGATTGGCAAGGAAGCAGGGTCGAGTTCAAAGGATCCCTTAGGAACTTCTTCCCCTTCCATCCCTGTCATTTGGAAACAAGGAACCCTGTGGGAGAATCTGAATAGCTCTTTTACGGGAATATGAACCAACCCTCTTTCTTCCTTGCGATGAAAAAGACACGCAAAACCCTTTACCTTAACCAAGGGTGAAACATGCACACCACCATTAGAATCAGTGTAGTCTGACAAGACCTCAACAAACTCATATTCATACTTCCTCTTAATCTCAGTATGAGAATGCCAGTTCATATCCCAATTTACAAAGAGAGCCCAGGTTTCACCCTTCTTAGGATATACTTTGTAAGTGTTTTTGCTCTTGCCTTTTTCCCAGCACACCATGTGAGAGAGCATAAGAAGATCTTTAATAATTTCTGAACTTCCTAGTCTGAATTTACCACAAGATGCCGGAAGGCCCTCAAGTATCCATTTCCTTTCGTCTTCATTGTCAGGATCAGGTTCCAACCAGGTTATAAGCAACTTAAATCCAGGAGAGAGAACCTGGTTTATTACAGCATAGAATCTAGGCATGGCATCCAACATATCATAAAAAGCCCATACTTGTCCATCCTTGAAACACTCTTTTCTTCTATTTTGGTCAAAATCACTCAAATCTGAGCCAGGATATTCAAATATTTCTGGTGCTGTCACAGTTGAAGACCTTGGACCAGAAGGATCTACAAAAAGATCTTCAGAATTTTCATCCTTACTAGGGAAAGATCCAACTGTTTTAGACCTTTTTGAAGAATTCACCAGCCCATCTTCATCATGCTGCCTGGACCGAGTAGATTTACGGGGGTATTGCTCACTGTTGGATTCTGTAGATACCTTACTGCCTGTTCTGCCTTTCGTACTATATTCCCCAGATCTTCCCTGCATGGTTGTCTTGGTGGTAAGGTTCACAGGAGTAGTTCGAGGGTTGATCTTTACATGAGATTGGCTAATGTCATTTTGTTTCGTGGGTGCAGACTGATTAAAGGTAGTACCAGTTGATTCACCAGGTGTGTCTACCTCGCGTGCAGTAAAAAGTGTTTCACATTGGTGACACCACAAAGTTTTATCCTTCATTGCTCTATAATACTGGTATTTAACTGAACAAGACGAACAGATTGTCCAAAATGTTGGTTGTTCGGTGGCACCTCCTGATTTAGTCCATTTTCGTGGCTGCTGGTGTGGCTGGTTCCCGGACTTTGGAGCAAAATTAGAACTGCTTTGTGCCTTGGACTGCCTGCTTGACTGGTGCATTGGTACATATGATTTTCCTAGAGAAATACGTTTCTTGTCATACAGTGCACGTTTGTCGTAATCCAAGAGCACCTTTTGAGCTTCACCGATCATTTTAAAAGCATCTGCAGCACCAGGAAACTGGTTCTTATCAGGATGAAGTAAGAGGGCAAACTTACGGTATTGTTTTTTGACGATTGCACCATTGGCTGTTGGGTCAACCTTAAGAATATCATACCAATCATTCTCATTTCCACCGATCTTGTTCTCTGCAGCACAAAGCACATCACAAACCAAAATCATCTGCTCAATGTTATCCAGATCAGGATAGAGCCTCTGAGCTTTGGATGCAATCTTAAGAGCACCCACAAAATCTTTCCCTTCCATCTTCTTCTCTGCAATTTCTTTGGCCCTGATAGCTTCTTCTTTGTTGCACTCCATCATAAAAAATCAGTCAAGCAACACCTCCAATTAACAAGCATTCATTTCACTCACTTGACAGGCAAAAATCTGCATTCATGATGCAATGTTTGATCTTCAAGTGTCCCTGCGAAGCAATTGTAATGTTAACTCCCAGTTTAAGTCAGCAAGCAATCCACTAGAACTAGTCCTTATATGTGCAATGATTTGAAATCATTCTTTTCTGTCTCTGTGCCACAGAGAAAGTGAACGTGTGGCCAAAAACCACCTCTAGGCCCCCAACCATTTCAAGATCTTCATGGATACAGAAATGTATAGTCATTGCATCTATTACTCATTACAGCATAACATCCATAATTATTTTGAAAAATATAATCTGGTAAGTCCTAATGTGACAAGGACACAACAAAACGGGCAGTCACAAAGAACAATGTGCTCAAATCCAACGATTTTATCAAAAATTCTTGCCAAGTATAATGAAAGTTACTATCCATAGAAAACTGTAAACTAAAAACTGCAATAACAGCAGTAATCTGTTCAATCATACATAAAATCCATAATTAATATTTTCCTGATGAGTACAATCTAGCTCTAGGTGACAGGTAAAAACAAGAAACTCCATGCATCAACTAAATCAGAAATGTCCAACCTAGTAAAGTAAAAACGAAATTCTACCAATTGCATTACACATTAAACAAAACACGAAAATGGTTTTTCAATAATAGAAAAAAGAATCCTTTTTATCACCATTTCCATTCCAAAGAGACATGCAATACTGCAATGCAAACCCCAAGTCCAAGCACTTCTCGCCTAAAACACAAATGTTAAATGGCAGCATACTCAAGGAAGGTCAACACTATACACGGCGCATATACATTTCACCCCAATCTATTTTTTATTTTTATTTTTTTTACTTATTCGCCAACAATCAAATCATATAAAAGTAAAAAATGGCATAATAATTTAAAAAAATAAAAATTCAAAAACATAAATGAAAGAGAAAACCTAGCATTTTACGTGGAAACGACAACTACGTAGAGTAAAAACTCCGAAATATAGCAAGAAAAAAACAAATGGAAGCTTACAGTATGAAGAGAGCGTTGACTCAGAGAAGGGCGAAAGTGAAAACGAGGCTCCAATCCTCCGCCAGACGTCGCAAAGGAAGCAGAGCGCGAACTGTTCGATTACCTACACTTTGCTATGTATATTGGATTTCTAGGGTTTGATTGAAATTTGGATGACTGAAAAGTTTCACTCAAACTAGATTAATAGAGTTTACTCTGCTCTTGGTTTGGAAATAGATGGCAAATGGGCTGGGCCGTTGATGGGCCAGCCCAGCCCATTATGGTCGGGTTGGATCGAAGAGTCTTGACTCATGATCCGTAAGTATAACTTTACCTACCCAAAAATCACTATTGTAGTTGTCCTAAGAAAGAGCGTCCAGGACAAGCAAACGAAGAAGCCCAAGGTCAACGTGTGTTTTCATTTTATCGGTGCAAACATTTGTTTTCCTATAAATATAGATCTAAGGACAACTCCAAATCCTCTTAATAAGCTCACGAATGACATACCCTGATACACGATATAAAACGAGGGGTTCATAACGTTCAAGATTTATATCACAATAATTCTTACTTCAGACAAGCATCATGCAATGAAAATACTCCGTAGTTCGTAATATGTTCTACACAATACTCTTCGGGATCTTATATCTCCGTTAAAAATCACCAAGGACTATCATGGAACACTTTGCCACTCCTATTGCCTTCACCACTCCCATTTACATTAATTAGATTTTCACTAAAAATAGTCTACATATTTTACTTTCTTTCCCATTAAGTTGTGAATCTAATCATCATCTACCAAACACATGCATAATTCAACCATTTTGACCTATCATATATATATATATATGGTGCTTAGATCAAACATGAACATGGAATCAAAATTATGATCAAATACTAATTTTCCATTACAACATGCAAAAGTAGACTTTAACTCCTCAACACAACCATAGTTTTTGAGTTATGGACCATTAAGGAAATAGTCTCAAAATTAAGGAGTAAAAAACAATAAATAAAGAATAAACACAAGGTTTGCTATGGAATGATGGTATATACTATTGTCATCAAGTCAATTGGGAAAGTCATGGAGGTAACTCATTGAAAGCGTTGATACTCATGTGGTTGATTATAGACAAGGACACTATATCGAGATTTGATAATCAGTGTGAGAGTTACAACCTGCACTGATCTCTCCACCCAAGAGAATGCTGAGTCACCGTGATTTATCCATCAACTATCCTGTCGGGACAGGTGTAAGTGTTTGGGGTTAGGGATTTCGCTTTGTAGGCACCAGACAAAACTCATATTTATATGTTACTACAAGGCATAGTTTAATAATGATAGGCTTCCTTCTTAAATTTAAGTAATTACATATATTCTAATTAGGCATATAAATTCCTAATAAGATAGCATAGTCTTAGATCAA